TATATACATATCTGTGTGTGTATGTGTGTGTGTGAGCGTGAGCGTGTGTGAGAGTGTTTGTCAGTGTGTGTGTGCATGTGTTTGTGTGTGCGTGCGTGCGTGTGTGCAGGTGTAAGTGAGTGAAAACAGGCGGATCTTAGGAATTTTGTGTAATAATTCTCTACTCAAACCCAATCCTTTTTCCTCTTATGTATAACATGTCAACATTATTTCAAGAACATTTTAAAAAAAATTCTTTCCACGAAGGAATACTGAGGTCAAACAAATAAATTCATTACCAAATGATGAGTCATGAAGGCTAAGCTCCCGAGGCTTATTTCTTCTGCGTCTCTTTTCAACTTAACGACGTTAAGCCTCAATATTTGTTTTCAATTTGACTATCGCAAGGATATTAATATCTATAACAAAAACATTATTTGACATTCTTTTTCCGAATCGCTGGAGATTGACTTGACTGGTTTAAGTCACACATCCAAAAGTAGTACTTTATGAAAGGGGACGAACATAGCTATTCAGCAGTTGCGAAGGCGAACTTCATTTTGTTAGCGTCAAAGCTGGTTTTGTTAGTCGGAATGTGGGAATATCCATACGTTTCTTTGTAGAGCCATCCTTGTTTTCAAAACTATGGATGTCTACCATAATGCCTGTCTGGTTGTGTCAACCAAACTGTTGACAACGAAAAAGCTTACTCAAAATTATGGGAACTTGGCCTGCGACTTCTATCTTTGGAAAGTTGGCAGCTATATTCTATTTTAGGTCCCCATGACGGCACAACTTTTATTTACTTAGGTATTCCCAGGATCTCACCCACCTCTTAGCCTACCGAATCACCCACCCCTCTTCCCCCGCCAATCCACTTACTCACATGCTCACCCACCCACTCACTTACCCCCTACCCACTTACCCACCCACTTACCCACCTCCTTGCCCTCTTCCTTACCCCCATCTACTTATCCACTTCATAATCCACATCTATTTACCCAGCCCCACAGCCACGTCCTCTTACCCACCTCCCTAATTCCACCAACTTATCAACCAACTCACCTATCGACATACCCACCACCCCACCAACCTCCCCACCTCCTTACTCACACCCACTTACCCACCTCCTTACCCACACCCACTTACCCACCTCCTTACCCACACCCACTTACCCACCTCCTTACTCACACC